CTCTCGCAATTCTCCAAAGACGTCTTTGCTTTTCTTTCTTTCTTTCTTCCTGCTTCTTTTCCATTTGTCTCAGGTAAATGAATGTATGTCTCTGTTGTTCTGCATTTTCTGTTGTAATTTCATACGTTGTCTTCTATTGGATTAAACTCTGTAATTCTGTGACGTCAACACTCATTGTTGTTTTCTGTGTGGTTTCACTTCGGCCCGCCGGGAGAACCTGGGATCCGTGAGAGGAAGATAGAGCCAGAGAATTTTCCTAAAATATTAAAACCTAAAATCTTCTTCAACACATGCCAAGTAAAGAATTTTGCCTTTTGATTCAGGTGTGTTGGAGCAGGAATCCAGGATGGTGGCACTTGAGGACTGGAGTTGCTGACCTTTGCCCTGCAGGGATTTTACTTTTTGATCTTAGAGTGGCTGAGGTCACCCAGAATGAACTGAGGATTGTGTGGGAGAAAAATATCTGTGTTTTGAAACTGGGTGTGTTTCTTTTGTAACTGGATGGATGGATGGATGGATGGATGGATGGATGGATGGATGGATGGATGGATGGATGGATGGATGGATGGATGGATGGATGGATGGATGATGTTTCCTCAAATCTAAAACTAAAGGAGCCTTTCAAACTGTTTTTTAGAAGAGCTAAAGAGTCAGCTGCTGTGATAGTGTAGATTAACAACTGCATTTGTGCAGATATTATATTTTCTGTCAGCCTTAAGTTTTTTAATTTAAAGGCAGCTGCACCTCTTCAACATCAGTTAAAATTATTTAACAATTTTTACAAACGGTTTGCGATGAAACAAATATCTGAATTATGTGCTGCATGCAGATATTTTTAGGAAGAACAATTCTTATTTTATTAAAGTTTTTTTTTAAAATTTTATTTATTCATTTAATCAGAACAATTACAATTTCACTTCACGTTGATCACGTTATCATTAAATATCTGCATCCTTGACTCCCTTTACAAAAAGGAACCTTTGATTGTCCTTTAAGTATGGAAGTCCAGAAGTGTCAAAGACATAAAGCAAAAGCTTTTCTTAAACATGTGCTTAACTCATTTAATGATCACATCATGAATGTATGTGTTCTGGCCTCCAGTCAAAGCATTCGATCTGAAAGATGGGCAATTTACTTTACAAGCCACAGCTACTGTTTAAAATATGCGACGGTGCTCCGTGTCAAAGAAACTATAAAAATGATCAATTAATTTCAAATTTCATTATTTATTGCTATGATTTATGACATTCACTTTACTTAAACTTTCCCTTTTGATTTGGACATGCCCAAATTATTATTTAAGAACAAACAGATATGTACTTATGTATTTTTTATTTTATTTTTGATGAGCTTCGTCACTCACCATGTCCTGAGTAGTTATTTCTCATCATGATTCTTTAAATAAAATGAGTGTTTCAAACCTGCTAAACTCTTAATGGCTGAGACTTTATGTAACAGCGATACCAGCCGACAAACACACTCAGGAGATGACATGCTTAAGTGTATTCTGCCAGAGGGAATGTACTTTGAAAATCAAAAGACATTAACCAATTACCCGCTGATCAATAGTCACAGTAACACACGGGGATGAACCGGACTCAGAGCTCTGATGATGTGTGCCTCGAGGCCAGGAGGCAGGCTCGGAGTACCGTTCCCGTCTCGGCGCCGGCCAATGGAAATGTTGGAGGTACCCCCCAACACGCCTCAACACGCCGCCGCTCTCCAATGCGAAGTCTGTCGCCAGGCAGAACAGCCGGCGCGAGGAAATCTGAGGCGCAGATAAGGGAGACATGGAGTGAGATGAAACAGGAGGGGTGGGGGTGAGAAAGAGGAGAAGCATCAGGAATAAAAGAGGAGCTGGAAGAGTGGATGTGTTAGGCTGTGAAAAGCAGGTGTTGCAGCTGGTCGCAGTGAGCAGCAGGTAATCTCACCAAGATAAAGCAGCGGGCTCATAATTCCCCATGAGAGGTGGCACTGTAGTGTTGTCAGGGCTCGCTCCCCCCCCTCTCCTACTCCTCCCCTGGATCTTTCTTTGAAATACTTTTACTTTTAAAAAAGAGAGAAAAAAATTCAGTAATGCTAGGAGAGGCTAGTCGACGCATTCTGATGAGGTAGCCGAGGGAAGAAAGGAGAAGAGCAGCGGGACTTTCTGCTGTGCGCCTTCTCCACGTTTACCTGAACAGATCACAGCAGCACTGCAGCTGCTCTGCTCTGTAGTCATGATGAGAGTAAATATCAGCACCGGGCTCAGAATATTGAAGTGATTGAAGCAGAAAGATGGAAACAATATGAGAGAGAGAGAGACGAAAAGAAAAAGAGGAGGAGACATCTAAGATATTACAGCTATCTGGGGGAGTATTTGAAGGAGCTGGCATTATGAGAGTGTAAATTACACTCTCTCCTTGTCCCCTTAGGCTGCTGGATGAATATAATCACCCACAGCAGCAAGCACCCAGACACACACACACACACACACACACACTGCTCTGTCTATAGACACTGGAATAATATTAGACTGCTGTTATGTGTGCTTGTGTTTGCCACTCTCGCAGACGGCTTCAATCATGTATCGATCCTCCATCAGTTCTCCAGCCTGTTCTTTTCCGCAATGATCTCAAATATTGACACATAACTCATTTGGTTAATTCAGGAGGCAATCAATAGTCGCTTATGGAGCTTTTGCTACACATCCAGCAGTCTCAAGGGTGATAAAGGGGGATTAGGACGTGATATTACAACAATACTTTTTCTTTTGATTTAAGCCAAAGAGGCAGAACTGAATCAAAGTGGCGGTTCGCTGTCTTTCAGTGTTTTCTACTCTGTTTGATTCTTCTACCCATCGCATTTTACGATTAGAAACTCGTGTATTTTATTGGCATTTTATTGGTATGTTATCAGTACCGACTTAGGTAGCACATATTTCCTAAGTAGAAGAAAAACAATACACCGGAGACATTTCTTTTTTCTTTTAAACTTACCCTATCTTTAAAATTATGGAGGCCCAAACAAAGATTTTTCAGCACAAACCACAAACACAACTTTTGTTTGATGTGCATAACATTTGGCAGCCTGGTTAACTTTTGGTGAAATGCTTTTAATGTAGGGGTGGGCATTTATTGCATCGTTTGACATTTATCATGATACATTTCTTATTATGATAAGAATTCTGATGTAACGTCATGATAAAAAAAATTATCATGACAACGTTTGAAATCCGTATTGTCTAATTGACAATACGGACAATCCTGACAATTGTTCAGGATTGTCCAAACAATATTATTATAATTAATAATAATATGAGTTATTATTCATATTAATAATTGTTTAAGTGCAGTATCACACTTCATTATGTGACTAGTGTCCTAAAAAAGCATATTACAAATGTTTACCAAGAGCAGTGTTTGTGTTTGTGAGGCCATGATTGTTGTCACACTGCGACCGCCATACAGTTGCCTAAAAGAGAAGTAATAAATAGTTTTTGTTTTGTGTCTTTTACCATTATCAAATATTACCTTCAAATTTTAAGTCCATACATTATGGACCACCACCACCTCTTCTTTAAACTTCAAAAACTGTTTACTTATAAACATCTGAACCGTGAGGAATGCTTTTGTATTAACTTCCCTTACTTTTGTTTTTAAATTAAATGAGGAAACGTGGCCTGTTGTCTAGGGACAATCTGTTGACAGGTTGCACTCACCACTGACTTCATCTTTATGGAGAAGTGGAAAATCAAAAACCTGAAAGTTATTTGACATCAATTTAAAATTTGCAATAACTCAATGTAGGGGACACATCAAACATCTAGAGGAACGAGTTTTGATCACATGAAATGAAAGTTAAACTTTCTGGGCTGCACACAAAGTGCTTTGTGGTGTAAAACTAAGACTTCATCAGCCTGAGCAGAGCGTCTTTTCAGTGCAACATAATAGTAGCAATCCCATGCTACAGCGATGTCTTTCTTTAGCAACAACAGAGAGTTGATGGGAAGATGGATGGAGCTAAGTACAGGGCAGGACCACAATGCTAAACATACTCACACGGCTCCAATGTAATAATTTCAATCAAACATATTCATGCGTCAGATAATCCTCAGAACCTAATCTGACTGAGAATCTGTAACCAGAGCAGAAAATAGCTGTTCACGGATGCTCTCTGTCTGACTGAGCCTGAGTTGCTTTCCAGTGACTGATGTGCAACATACTACCATGGACTTGTAGCTGAAATTGCACCTAAACGCTATTCCAAAAAGTATTGGCCGAATTTAAACGCTCAGCACGCTTTTAGGTCTCTTTAGTAGTGAAAAAAAAAATAAAGAAAGCAAAGTATCATTTTCTTTCCACTTCATAATTATTCTCTACTTTGTTCTGATCACATTAAATCAGTAAAACAGATTGAGAATTCTGGCTGCAACTTAAGAAAAGGCAAAAATGTTTAATAGAAATCTCTAACATTTATCTATGTGAACCTCTTCACCTATTTTCCCTCCATTTCAGCTAATGATGAAAGCTAAAAGAGTAAAACATTTCATCATTTTGAAAGTCTTAATTAAAAAAAAAAAATAAATCACCTGATTTTTCTATGTTGGCATATTTCATTATGTCTAGTTTGGCTTTGAATCATCTTATTACATAAAAAAAAAAAAAAAAAAATCCCAAAATATAAGCAAGAAGGATCTGTGAAATCACCCAAAGACACTTTTTTATTCTCATAGACAAAACAGAAAAAGAGCTAATTCAGGCCAGTTATCTTTGTAAAAGAAAAGCCACACACACACACACACACAGAAGAAGACAGCCCCGATTTGCTTCCTAAGGATAACTTAGCTTAAAATCTCTGTTAAAGTGTTGCAACAGCTTGAGTCAAGGGTCTTTCCTTGTGATATTTAGCCGCAATTAGACGACAGTTTTCCAGTCAGCCATACATTTGTCTTCATCCTCCTCGCCCCTCCTCCTCCCTCTTTTTCTCATACCTCGTTCCTCTCTCTCCCACCTAACCAGGGACGCTGTTCCAGGGAGAACTGCAAGTACCTGCACCCTCCTCCGCACCTAAAGACACAGCTGGAGATCAATGGAAGGAACAACCTAATTCAGCAGAAAAACATGGCCATGTTGGCCCAACAGATGCAGCTCGCCAACGCCATGATCCCCGGAGCACAGCTACAACCAGTAGTGAGAACAAGCATGTTTCCATGACTTCAATATTTGCAAATTAAAAAGTGTTTATTTTTTTATATAAGTGCATAACAGAGTCAGGATTTCTGTTTTGTTTTGAGTTTTACTTTTTTCTTCGAGGCATGTAGAGCATTTACTGACATTTGTAGCTACTAATGACTGATCAAACTAATGAGCAAAGTGACAGGATCATTAAATCAACCAATGACCAGAATCTTTCAGGTATGTGTGTGTGTGTGTGTGTGTATATATATATATATATATA